ATGCGTCAAAGTTGGAAATGCCCTCCACGTGTCTACCATAATACGTTCTGAAAGCTTTTCCGATGCCCTGAATGTTGGAACCTCGATCAAACAAGTTGTGAGCAAGACTTGTATGACGCTCTTTGAAATTTTCGTAGAAAGAACACGCTCGATTGCACGTCAAAAGTTGTGAAAGTAAGAAACGGCATATCTCAGCCTCCGAAATATGTTACGTGTGAAAACATTTTTGATGACACTATGCTCACATTAAATAATCGACAATTACAAAGTGCAACTGGGATCTAAACTGAAGTTCAAGAGTTCTCCGTCACATACAGGTTTCTGCAAAGATCGATGAATGTGAAGCTAAAAGCACAGTTTAATCACTGAATGTTTGAGAATCGACTGACAACATGGCCGCTACGCACACCAGTTTGAGTAATTTCAAGTAAAGTCGAGTTGACCTCCTTCAACCATTTGTCAGCAAACATCATGAACCACTGAAACAAAGAATATTTTGTTGTAAATTTTGATGAATATAGTCTGTAATGTTGACATACCACATGCCTCAGACAGTTTATTCGACTGACGTATGTACCTTAAGGAACAGATCGATGCTCATGATGTCAATCACTTGATTGTCTGGTCCTGACTCGATCATTTACAGACCGCCGTCATATAGCTATAATATTGCTGATTGCAACAAACAAACAAAAAAAACCTTAAGAAATTCCTCTGGTTTGGTATTCTATACCATAAGTAGTATTTCTAAATGATTATTTTAATCGGTACAAATGAAAACAGGAGGGAGTTGCCGTGCATTCTATAGGTACTATGGTTGTCACAATTATAAACTACAAATATTAAGTCACAATTTGTTGACGTAAAGAGGACGGACAGAGTAAAATTAACAAACTTGCATTTGAGCAACAGAAGTATTTAACCTTTTAATTATGTTAACCAAAACTATAAAACGATCTTCTTTACAATACTTCATATTTCCTGTTTTAGAGTGTGCTAAAAAACAAAATGGATAAAGCTGTGTGCATTTACCAGTTTCCAAGAACTTTCCATTGATGATGTCATACAGTGGCATAACGTCACAAAATAAGTTTACAATGCATTGATGTCATAGTAAAATAACGTAGCAATATATACCTAAATTTTTACCCGTCTAAATTGGAATTAATCGTCTTCATGACGTGTAACCTGACGAATAGACTTGATGTTATTGTTGTACTGCTTCTTATCGGTGATAGACTGACTTCAAGTATGTCGTTAAAGCACTACCGATACACAACAGGTCGACAAAAACAATGTACCTGAACACACACTATCAGCATTCAGTGAACCATGCAACACAAAAGAGCAGAATGTCCAATATTTTCTAAATTTTCCAACATAGTCTGAACACCAAAGACAACGAGTAGTTAAGTAAAACAGGAAAACACTGTCAAAGCTTAGTATAATTAAAAATGTATAAGAACTTTTGTCGTGATTAGCTCATTCCTGACACACAAAAAAACTCAACACATTTGCGTGTCAGGGGGAGCAATTAAGCAAGATATGCGATGTCGGTATTGGACGATACCATGAATGATTCATTCCCCTGTGAGCTTCACATGTCACGAACATACGCTGACTGAATGTGGCACGATTGTTCGGCAAATTGCCTACCTCTGTTGATATAGCTGTTTCCCACCTTTATCTCCACCATACACAGATGTCACTGAAAATCCTCGGTCCTATTTCGTTCTTTGTTTTGTGTTACTTAATGACCGCCATTGTATATTTTCATTTCAACTGCAGCATTTATTCATGCTGCAATTCCAAAGTTTCCATTTTTGACAAAGGTTAGACTTACACGAATTGGGGCCGTCGGGTAGTCTGGTGGTTAAAGCATTCGCTCGTCACGCCGAAGACCCGGGTTCGATTCCCATCATGGGTATAATGTGTGAAGCCCATTTCTGGTGTCCCCCACCGTGATAGATATTGCTGGAATATTGCTAAAAGCGGCGTAAAACCATACTCACTCACTCACTTACACGAATTGCTGGCATTCATATGGATAAAGCATAAACATAGGGACTGGTAATATATTATTGGGAGGGGAATTAGCCTTAGGACTGTATCATATTTTGCTGAACACCTCATTTTAAGTAACATCTTTCCTTTCATGCCCTCGCCCCTACCCCCCCCCCCCCCCCCCCCCCCCCCTCACAAATGCATGTTCTATTTTTTCTTGAGCCTCCGTCATATAATAAATGACAATCTCTGAATAATGTTCAAATTTATCATGTTATCAAAATTTGAACTGTCATTTTTTCATGATCCCTTCTGACCAATCCCTTAAGCGAAATGCTGACATTTAATGAATACTTGTATATAGGATTCTCTGGTCCATATGTTCAATTACAAGGCGTTCGCCATTGCTATAAATCATTCTTTTCATTAAGGGGAATGAATTTATACAGTTGGAAATCAAATTTAAAAATATATTGATTATGTGATCGGACAAGAATCAGCGAAGTGTGTACTTGATAAATGATGTGTTGTCTGGACCAGTGACCAGCACGTTGATGTTCATTGCCCGATAGAGCCATATGGTAGTCAAACCCTTAATCGTGTAGTGCTCCACCATTAGTACTGGATAACTCCGATAAATATATTTGAAATTATTTTAGTACATCGGAAAACATACAGTTTTACCACACATTCACTTTTACTGATAATTATATTGCATCTTATAATTTGTATAGTTCATTGCTTGATAACGGCCAATATACAAATGCACACCGACTCGTCGTTACAGTTGTTATAAAAAGTTAACCATCCATATTATCTTGTCACTGGAGATGGGGATCATCGAATGTCAATGCCGTTTATTTGTTTCAGTATTTGCTCATGGGGAGGACTAAGCATCGTTTAGCTGTGTACATGTGTCTTTTAAACGTATGTTATATCCAACATCCGCCATTGGAAGTTGAAACGTTGTTGGATGGCAGTTGCAAAGCTACCCCAAAAGCAAACAAACAAAAAACAAATGAAAAGAAAGAATACAAACTACATATACACACACACAGATAAAAGTAAACATAATACGCAAAGAGTCGTAGGACAGAGAAAGAAATAACTAGAAATCAAATCAAGCAAATTAACCTATTTGTTTCAAAACATTATGAGGGTATTTAGGATGTATAGACATTTTGAACTTTCTAGTCCTTTAAACATCAGCACCAAAGTGGTAATTAATCGTCTAAGATTTGCATAATTTGGGGCTCCCAAATCAAGCTGACACGCCGTGATATAACTAAAATACAGTTACTCTTAATCACATTGAATGCAACATTATTATTATTATTGTTGTTGTTGTTGTTGTTGTTGTTGTTGTTGTTGTTGTTGTTAACCAAACGGCAGATGATACTACCTATTAATCACCAGTATATATAATCCATCTCGCTTAACGGTACATGTCACACTAAAACAAAACAATTCTATTAAAGGAAGGCATAACAAATGAGCTCTTACGGGCGTAATAAATCTATTTAGATTTAATTCAATTGTCCGTCTTAGTAAAAACGCGTAATACATCAAACTTAATACAACGTGGGCAGTTACCATCAACTGTTCAATCTAACACGCCAGCGTTATCAATCGTAACATTTTACTGGTATTTACACTGTATGAGCATACACATAACCGGTGGATCTTTTTAATACGGACGCGTGGAAATAACCCTCCCGAGAAATGTGAGTACACACAGACTGACAGCGAGCGTAGAGGCACGAGGATTGGACAAAGGCTTATTAGAACATTTCTGTAGTCAGTTACAATTCCAGAATCAACACAGAGGTCCTTAATTGCCTGTTATATTGTTGTAGGAAGCGTTAAGCCAGTACAAAACAGTGGTTAACATCAGTGAGGCTCTAGAGGGGTGTACTTTTAATGAATAAAAATTATCATGACCTGACTTCTCGGTGTCGTTGTGTAGAGTTTACAGCATGAAAATAATTAAATATAAGTTGTTTTCGTTTCTTTCTTTGAAATTTGTATTATTTGTAAATAATCGAGTCTCGATAAAAAAATACGTCATTGACATTGCATTTATATCAGCATCGATCTACAATATTTGGATGCGATGACAAGCCAGTCTATTTATTCGCCTCTTTCTTCAAGCTGGGAGGTATATTTTCCGCAAAAGTCCCAATGTATCTGCATTTATGCATTGTTTAATTATGTTTATTCATTGTAAATTAACAAAAAGCATGTATATGGCAACATCTGGCGCTTTGTTATAATGAGTGTGATATATCTGATCCGATTATGTAAATATGCTGTACTCATGCGATGAAATATATCCATTAACTGCATGTTATCTACAGCTTGAAACAGTGTCTCCATGCACTAATCACATATTTTGCAAAATGTGATTATGCTCATCAATATTTATATTTCATTTATTGGGGTCTCAATCATTGGTCTATATATACATTTACATATATTCTTTACAGTGTTGGTGAATTGCTTCAACTCTTACGCATTATAGAAATATTGGGATATTTTGTTTTATTCATTCGTTTATTATCAGCCGTCATTCAATCCTTATTCACTCACTATGTGATTCATCAGTTTACATGTCTCTTTAATAAATGCAAGTGTATGCCATTCACATGCATGCACGTGTTAACAATTTACACAAGTATAGGACAAGTATCTCTAGAGTGAGGAGATTGATTGTACAGATACTGATACAGGTGTTCCCATAGGATGAAACATAATCCCATGTTAATTGATGTGGTATTGTGGCATCTCCTGAATAAATTGTTCGATGTTATCTAATATTGCCTCCCCCCTCGACACCCTCTCTTAAGTAGCCTCGTTCTGCTACGGTAATTACACATGTATCAATCCACTGGAACCCTCTACACTTTAGCAGGCGCTTGTCTCAATTTTTACCTCGCCTTGTAAGACCCTCCTGTAGCGAGCCTCTAATAATCGATCGCTTTGTGTTACAGCATGCGCAGATGCGACGGAAGTGACATCTAGTGCGCATCGACTGGTGTCGAGAGTGCAGCAGACGATTCTCGATTTCCTCTTGTGCCATCTGCTGTATAGCATACACTATGGCGACTTGTTCACGCCACAGGAAACAAGGCCAGTCGGTCTCCCAACGCGATATAACTGTTTAGCAGAGGATACCGGTGGAATAACAAAGAAAATGGCCTGAGAGATGGGGAAATGTGTCCATACTGGAAGTAAGACGCAGACCACAATGTGAACTACAGTTCGATATCGATTGATTCGGCAAATGTAGCGTTGTTTAGGAGAGAGTGAATGAAAAAGGGAGATATACACGCTCACAGTGGATTTCCTTTGTGCTTCCTTCTATGTGTGACCACCCTGCGATGCGAATCTCACCCCCGGGGCCGGAATAACTACCCAAGGGATTGGAATATGGGTGAATATAGTGTCCTATACTATAATTGATCTGTGTTGAGTGCGTCAGCTAGCGGTCACTACGTTTACTAACGCCACGCCACGAGGTGGGCAATGTGATACTGTAACACTCGCTTTTGTGTAGATGGAAGGGTGTAAAACACACAAGTTCTACCTTGACAGTGTAGCTGTTACACGAAATGAAAGGGACGGTGCGTCTGTGGAATAACATCCACTCTGACATTGCAGCCTCCTGTAGGTTTACTAACGGCTGTGGTAGTAATATAAGCCGGAGCTATCGTCCGCGTGTCTCACCACACGGGTCATGGTGCTTCCTATCTTGCGAAGGTTGTAATCCACGGCTGTTGACGACATTTGATGCATCCTTCTCAGATTCTGAAGTCTAAAGCCTTCTCACAACCACGCCAGTATCAAGGCAATTTAAACATTTCTATAATGTAGATAGTTTTATGTTTATGGATTATAGGTCCCAACGCTCGACATCATACCACCAATATCATATAGTATTGAATGTTAATAATGCAAGATTTGAAGTCATAATAAAGGTGAAACTTACAGAAGTCAGAGAATGTATCGAGCCCATTGACAGTTATCTTACTGATTGGTTGCCGGTCAAGTCGTTTGTCAGAAAGTGTAGCCGGTCGTGTACTTGGAACCGTTGTGATATACTTTGAAGTAAGATAGCACATTGATAGATCCAAGAACAATATTACAAGAGCAAGTCCGAATATAGAACTGAAGATATAAAAGTCATGTTTGAGGAACCGTACTGTCAGCCTTGAACAAACTCGAACACATACACAAAGCTAGGTAGTGATCAAACGTGTATAAAACTGAATAATGTTATCGATAGAAAGTCGCAAAGAACCACCTTGTAAATGATTCAAGCAAGTTAGACAGATATATACTGCTGTTGATGATGGAATAATTGATAATGGGCATACATCACGAGCCGCATGTCAACTGACAAATGCGGGTTTTGTTCTGACTGTAGGGTTTATAAAGACGTCGTTGATAGTGTTGCAATCCAGCTGTCAAGATTTCGCGGTTTAGCGAAGCCCCGGACCCCCCTCGACATCAGCAGGAAGAACGCAGCTATGTGGGTACGATGAAGAAGCAGAATGTCAGAACGTTGTCCCTTATCGTGTGCACCTTCACCTACCTGTTGGTCGGAGCAGCAGTCTTTGATGCCCTGGAATCGGAGTTCGAGGGGGAGAAGAAGCGTATACTAGAGGCCGAAGAGGAAACAATGAAAGATCGCTACAACATCACGGAAGAAGACTTTGAGACATTGAGATTCACAATCATCAAGAACGTTCCCTACAAGGCAGGCACCCAGTGGAAGTTTGCTGGGGCGTTTTACTTCGCTCTTACGGTCATCACTACAATAGGTAAGAGACGTGTAAATTATTCTTGTCTGTGTTGATGGGGCATCTTAACTATTGAAACACACCCAGTTTAACCAATATCATATTTATTCGCGTATTGTCTAATTTCATTTAATTTCCCTTAACTGTCAATTGTTTTGCAGGAAGTGTAAATTCAATGTTGTACAAGAAAATGTATGCTAATTCACATGCAAGCCTCGCAAGTTGCTACCATGAGGAGAACACTCCCTCAATCAAGCCTTGCTTTAAATGAAAGAACACGGGATATGAAAGAGCAGCAGAAAGGAAATGGTCGCGAGCAATTAAGACGCGTTCAGCTATATCATCATCTGATGCTTCTCACGTGTTTGTCACTGATTCTTTAATCTAAAATATAGCATTGAAAGACAATGATACAAAGGATGCATTCTACCCCATTGCAGTGCACGTGTCAACCACAAATACATACACCGGAGAAATTTCACTTTCACAAAACGTTCGCTTTCACCCTATATGTTCAATTAATGAAGTCTTAATGTTTGAAGGTCTACCTCCTCTTAGATTTGCAGACTTACCTTGCTATAAAGCACATCCTTCTCCTTCAGGGTCATATTACTACTGATGGTCATGGTGACATTTTTTGGTCACAGTGACACTGGTGTTAACTGCAGCCAGAATCACACTCCGACAGGTCTTCATTTCACCAACATCTTTCTTTAAATTGTTCTCATATGGCAAATGTGTGAGAAAAGTGTATATTTATGTTACCTGCTCAAAATAACAACAAAACGCCATTTATCTACCAGTGTCGATGTGCAATATGATTACGATTGTGGCTGTCTGACATTAGATTTAAACGAGTTAAATCGTGTTCTTATGCACTCCTCATACTGGAGAGAGAGAGAGAGAGAGAGAGAGAGAGAGAGAGAGAGAGAGAGAGAGAGAGAGAGAGAGAGAGAGTCACGATTTTGGCAAAATGGGGAATTCAGTACCAATGTGAACAAGCGGAAGCCGTGTCCTCTGATTGACGAGCGAACGCTCAAGCACATCGAGCCTACTCAACGTCTTTGTAGATTGGCATGAAATGAAATATAATCGCAGACCTCAAGTGTACACTCTTCAGACATCAATATATTGAATTCATCATGTACATTCAATTCGTGATATAAAGAAATCGAATATTGCGGAAATCGGGCAACAACAACGCTAATTCTCCCCACCGTCGGTGACGTTATAAGGCTATTGTTAACGTGAGCACCGAACACGTGGGTTTCTAAGCGTCGTAGGACTTAGTCACATCCAGAGGCCTTGGACGACATTTGCAAGTGAATAATTCATAGGGAAACAAGATTACATAGATTGTAAATCTTTGCTGTTACGGAGGGCGTTTCAAGGCTACTTCCTGGCCATTCCTCAGTTGACGGGGCATGTGGCGAAGGTCGCAAAGATGGCCTTGGAACGATGCGTACAATACGAGGGAATCCATATAATCTTGTTTCTCTTTCTTAGGACCTGGTCGTATTTCATTCTACTTTGTAGAATCGGTTTTATTGCAGGATAATTAATATTTAAGTCAAATGTAGAATCCAGAGACATATAAAACTGTGTAAATAAAAGATGATTAAAACATACTCTGATTTGTAAAATGCACCCCTTTATATCAAAACAAACACTGTTTGTTCAAAGTGAAATGCTATTGACCTGTTCTTTAGCCGTCAGGTGTTTCACGACAGATGGGTCGCAGTGATACGGTTGCTGTAATCGAGTAGCTTCCAGAGCGTATAAATTGGAAATCGTTGATGTAAATTGAAATTTTTGTTTTTACTCCAAGCATTGTGTAACACTCAAATCGATTATGTCCTTTTGTTCAATTCATGAAGGCTCAATGACTCTTAATGAATTAACGCCTTTGTGAGACAAATATATATGAAATTATAATCATCATGGGCGGTTTGGTCCGTGTCAACCTCACGTGGCGCCCTGGTCGAGCAGTGAGAATTAGATATTTATCAATAACTCTATAATAATGAAGTATTCAAAAGTTAACTATTATGTCCATGAAAAATTGAAAGCTCAGACAACTCATTTCCATTAACGTCAGCACGATACTGATATAGCATTCAAGTAAAATTAATTGTAGAAGTTACTTCGTATATATTATACCATGCGTGCAGGTAGCGGCTTTGATCTCCCGAAGTGACGGAATATATGCGCTGTAATAAGTCTCATGAAAGGCGGCGCTTCATGAAAGTTTCATTGTGCCAGGTACAAAACATGCAACTGGATGCAGTCTGTGCTATTTCATGACAGCTATGTCTTCGGTAGGGTCAGTGTAACCAGCCATTAGCTGGACTAATGGTGACAGGATATACGGCCTGATAATGTCATAGACACCTATTTTGTACAGAGGAAGTTCATACATAATGCAATTTTATTTGACAGCAAACGTTCATATGAAACCACCTGACTTAGCAGGGCAGGTTGCACAATTATTGGTTTTTAGTTTCGTGGGGAAAACTATTTTGATGGCTTGATAGATGAACTTGGTGCTCTTTGGGAACTATTGTAGCTAGCAAAGTTTAATCTTTCCATCCTCTTTTAATGTGTTGTGTGTCCATCCGCCTAATCGCATTTAGAAAATTATTTTATCCTTTAATTTTTAAATCCGTCTTGATGTATAACCACCTTGTTTTTACTTGGTTCTGCCACCTACCAGAACTACGAGAAACATGACATTATCAATAACACGACATTGTATCAGAGTTGTTAGTGGCATGGTGCTTCTTCTTCAAAACTCACGGGGACAGTCGGGTAGCCTAGTAGTTAAAGCGTTCGCTCGTCACGCTGAAGACCCGGGTTCGATTCCCGACATGGGTACACTGTGTGAAGCCCAATTGTGGTGTCCGCCGCCGTGATATTGCTGGAATATTGCTAAAAGCGGCGTAAAACCATACTCACACACTCACTCACTCATACTTTGACATATGATTCAAATCTACCTGTACATTGTGTGCAAGAACATGCGTGCTGTAGGCATGACGCTGCTCGGCGTTGGAACGGTGTAACTACCTTCCAGTGGTCCGTTCTGGCTGCGTGAGATTGCAGTTTAATTCCCCTTGTAAGTAAGTGTGTGGCTTGCGAATCTGACACTAACATCTCTTTCTTTGATATATAGTTTCTTGCTGTATTCGGATCAGTGGCGATCTTTAATAGCACTGTATTTCTGTACATTAACACTATTAGCTGATGGTGGTGATACACTCGCGGCTTCATAGTGGTTAAAGCATTCGCTCGTCACGTCGAAGACCCGGTCGATTCCCCACATGGGTGCAATGTGTAGAGCCCATTTCTGGTGTCCACCGCCGTGATATTGCTGGAATATTGCTAAAAGCGGCGTAAAACCATACTCACTCACTCATTTGCGCCTTCTTATGTTACGATTCATTATGGGATATTTCGTGACTGGTGATCGAACGTTCTCCCAACCATGCATTCATTAGCAAATACATGGAAGTTGTTAAACACAGATACACATACATAGACAAGTACAGATATATAATATGTCCAAGTTAAATATATCGAAATACTATTTCATATATGCAGTTGAACACTTGACTTTCCTTTCCATGTGTTTGTGACGGATGCGACCGGCACTAAAGGATACGATCATCATGTTGTCAACACCTGGTATCATCACTATTTTATTGTGATTCAGGACACACATGCATATGGTATAGTCGGAATTCGTATGTTGGTTATACAATGAATAAATTGTTACCAGATGCTCAAACCAAGTATTCCGAACGTTGTAATCAGCGGCTGTTTCTGCTACTAGTATTCCGTATATTGTTCCACTACTAGCATTCCGTATATTGGTCTACTACTTATATTCCGTATATTGTTCTACTACTTATATTCCTTATATTGCTCTACTGCTTATATTCCGTATATTGTTCCACTACTAGTATTACAAGTATTCCGTATATTGTTCTACTACAAGTATTCCGTATATTGTTCTACTAGTTAGATTCCGTATATTGGTCTACTACAAGTATACCGTATATTGTTCTACTAGTTCGATTCCGTATATTGGTCTACTACTAGTATTTCGTGTGTCCTACTCAGTCACTGTTACTGCTTCTGCTACTAACATTCCGTATGTTCTACTGCTAGTGCTCCACTACCACTGCCACCACCACTACCACCACCACCACCACCACCACCACCACCACTACCACACCCCCACCACTACCACCACACCACCATCCCCACTACCACCACCACGACCACACCTCTACCACAACTACTATTACTACCACCACCACTATAACAACTACTATCACTACCACCACCACAACTACTACTACTATCACTACCACCACCACAACTACTATCACTATCACTACCACTACCACTACTACCACCACCACCACCACCACCACTACCACACCATCACCACTACCACCACCACACCACTACCACACTACTATTACCACTACCACCACCACGACCACACCACCACCACAACTACTATCACTACCACCACCACCACAACAACAACTACTATCACTACCACCACCACAACTACTACTACTATCACTACCACCACCACAACTACTATCACTATCACTATCACAACCACTACTACCACCACCACCACCAACATCATTATCACTACCACTACTACCACCACCACCACCACCACCACCACCAACATCATTATCACTACCACTACTACCACCACCACCACCACCACCACCACCAACATCATTATCACTACCACCACCACTACCACCACCACCAACATCATTATCACTACCACCACCACCACCACCACCACCAACATCATTATCACTACCACCACTACTACTACTACTACTACTATTACTGCTATCCCGGGCCGCGTCATACAAAAAAGACGTTAAAAGATGTTACTTGTTGTTACCCTGTCTGGCGCTCGGCATTAAGGGGCTAAAACAAGGACTGGTCGGCTCGGAGTCAGTATACTGTGTCTGAGTGGGGTA